GTCAAAATAACGCAATATAATCACTCCAGTTTCAATTAATTTGGTAAAATTTATCTCAGAATATCTATCAACAATACAGACAAGAGCAAAAAAGATTCCCCCAGGAGTAGAGAGTTAAAGAAACCCCTATAACAACACAGTTCCAGTTGGAGTGTGCGTGTGGGTCCACGGGGCCCAGACACCTGCAGTCGCAACCCTCAGAGCCCAGCTAAAGGGCAACCCCTGACCCAAACACGCACACCACCATCCCCCAAGAGCCGAGCCACGGGGCACCTCCTGGCCCAGACACCAATCTCCCCTCCCCATAGAGCCTAGCTGCAGGTCAGCCCCTGACCCAGACACCAGCACCCCCCCTACAGTGCCCATCCATGGGGCACCCCCCCAGACACCAGCCCTCTCCTCTCTACAGAGCCTAGTTGTGGGGCAGCTCCCAGACACCAGCCTCCCCTCCCAACAGAGCCCAGTCCTGGTGTAGCCCCCAGATGTCAGCCCCCCACTCAGCCCAACCATGGGGCAGACCCCAGATGCCTGTCCCCCTTTCTTCACAGAGCCCAGCTGTAAGGCAGCCCCCAACCCAGACACCAGCACCCCCAGAGCCTTTATTCCCCCCCAACTTCTTTACTGAACTGCCAGGGGACATGGTGTGGTGGGGCTGTGCCCTTCCTCACCATTTGCCAGAGCTTTCTGGGTCTCCGAGGTCCTCTCCCCTCCTGGGAGAATGAGGATCAAAGAGTGTGCACCCTCCTACCCCACCAGGCTGGGTGCTCTGCTCACTGCAAGATGGGCTCTGCAGAGTCCAGCAGCCCCTCATGGCAGCCAGAAATTCTGCAGGAAAAACAGGGAATTCTGCATTCCGCAGTAGCACAGAATTCCTCCAGGAGTAATACAATGGAGAGTTTGAGAGGCCAGATCCCATTCATAGTCCTGGGAGAAGCACCTGCTGAGAATATCTGCTGTGGTGTTTTGAACACCCAGAAGGTAGACAGCTGAAATTTGGATCTCGTGGGCTATACACCAGTTCCACAGCTTTGTTGCTTTAGCACATGGAGATGGGAACCGTATTCCTCCTTGTTTATTGATGTAGACTATGAAGGCCACATTGTCCATCATGATCTAATTGATTTGCCCTGATGAGAGGTGAGAAATGATGGCAAGCATTCCTGACTACCCAGGAGTTCAAACAGGTTGATGTGGAGACTGGTTTCCTGAGGTGACCATCTGCCCTGAGTTGCGAGAGTACTGAGGTGAGCTCCCTATCTCAAGAGAGATGTATTCGTTGTGAAGGGTGTGGTTGGAGGTGGGAGAATGAAAGGAATGTCAGCACAGACATTGAGTTGATTTTTCAACCCATCTAGGACGAATAGTTTTGCATGATCAATCACGAAGGTGCAGGCTGACATATGACCCAGGAGCTGTACACAGTTCCTTACTGAGGTTCATGGACTCCCCTGAATGGTCCTGACTACATATGCTAATGTTATGAATCTGTCTGTGAGGAGGTAGACCCTGACTGTCAATGAATCCAAGTATGCCCCTATGAATTTGTATTTTCAGTACAGAGTGGTATGTTGGTACTTGGGAAAAAGACAGTACAGAGGACGAGTGGGATACCGAAAGACCCTGCGTAACTATGAGCAGAGGAGACTTGGATTCATCTGAGACAAAGAGGTCTTTAGGGAAGCTAAACTTCTCCAGGACCAGAGGTCAACTGAAAAGAGGGGAGACCAAGCTGAGAGGGGTCAGTACCGGTGCTACTCTGGTCTTTGTGGGCGTCTGGCGATCTAACTGCACAGTAGTTTTCTGTGATCCAGAGGCCATGGATGGTGCGGAGGGTGCAGAGGTCAGTACTGAGACTTTAGAAACATCAGAGTGTCTCTTGTATTGCTACAGTCACCCATCTCAGGCCAAGACCATTGAGCACTAACTGAGAGCAGGTCATCTGACACCAAAAAGGCATCGCTATCTAAAATCTCCAATCAAAGGCGTGTTCACACCTGAAGTGGAACACTCATAGGGTCATTACTTGAAAAGAACAAAAAAATCCCCAAACAGGACAAAGGTCAGATAACAGGGCTTTAAAAAGGACTGCCAGGAGGGGAAAAAAGGAAGGCTATTGGACGGTGTAGCAGGGTGCTGGTGCAAAAGCACCTAATTAGCCCCTGCCCAGTCAGGTCCAATCAGGGGAAACAGATTGGGGCTGACAGAAAAGGCCTGATGCCAGTCTGAGGATTGGCAACACCTGCTGGCCTGACAAGCCAAGGGCTATAAAGGCTGGGAGGGAGCCAGAAGGCAGGGGACAGCCAGGGAGGGAAGTGGAGGCCTCCTAGCTGAAGGCTGTCTCTGCCTGTAAAGGAGGTGACTAATCCTGTAAAGCTTGTATATAAATAGACACTGGTGGTGGGACAACCTTAAGTAAATAAAGACACAGGTGTTGCGCAACCCTGAAGACTCTCTGAGCCTTATTGGGGGCAGCAAGCAGGCCCCAGGAAGAGGGCGGGTCATGAACCCTGTTACAGAAGAACAGAAGTTTTGGGAATGAGACAAAGAGACTCATCACCATATGACTGCCTTGGGGATGAGTAAGTTTTCCCCTAGTCAGGTTGTCCCTCTCCATAGCCTCACTGACCAGTCATTCAGGTTTTCAGGTGGCTCCTCTTTTTCTTGTGACTCGACCTTCTGGCCAAGTCACTCTTTAGTCTCACCCCTTTCAGGGTAAGTCAGCGTGCACTCCAGTAACAGTCTGTCAGCCTTGTTCCAGAGTTCTAGACTGACTTTAGGTCCACTAGGCCTTATGACACTTATCCAGAGCCTTTGTTAGGGTTTCCCTTGGTGGTCTGGAGGGGAACTCAGTCCCACCCTCTACCCTAGGTTCCAGCCCTAAGGTCCACTTCCTCACACCTCCTGCTTCTTCCATGGATGTCTTCCTACTGTGGCCTGCTTAAAAATATTCTTCCCAAGCCCTTTTAAGGCCTCAGTGGAAAGGTAACAAAGGAAAAACACAACAAAAATAGTCCTAACAAGTCCCTCGCCTCCCTCCTCTCAGGATATACCTGACAAGCTGTAGCCCAGCTAGTATCCTCAAAGGCTACCCGGAAATGTTTGCAGAACCTCCTTGGCAGTTCCATCCTCCACAGTACTCCTTTCTGTGAACTAGTGGGGAGAGATATGTCCACCTCCTATGGCTGGGTCTTTTTAAATTGAGCTTCTCCCTTTTTAATCTCTTGCTCCAAGATTGGCATGCCTTGCAGGTTCAGCATGGTGGGGCTGCCTGAGGCCAAAACTGCATTTTAACCTCTTCCTGACTGGTGTGGAGGGTGTACACTCCATCACATGCCAGGAGACAGGGAGAGATGGGCATGCTTTCATAGCGGGGACAAGGGGGAGGAGAATCCAGTTTGTGAATCAATCAATGTCAGAAACAGCTAGCTTGGATGAAAAGGCTCCAAGAATTTGAAGAGAAGTCACGAGCTGCAGGGGAAAGATTCTAGACACCACAGAAAACTCTGCCCAACCCCAAAGTATCAGAGGGGTAGCCGTGAATCTGTAAAAAGCAACAGAGGGTCCTGTGGCACCTTTAAGATTAACAGAAGTATTGGGAGCATAAACTTTCATGGGTAAGAACCTCACTTTTTCAGATGCAAGGGAAGAAGTGAGGTGCATCTGAAGAAGTGAGGTTCTTACCGATGAAAGCTTATGCTCCCAATTCTTCTGTTAGTCTTAAAGGTGCCACAGGACCAACCCCAAAGAAAATTCACAGTGGTGAGGAACATGACACAGGGAAACACTTTTTGGAGTGTCTGCTATTTTGTATAGATCTGGTTTTCTCATAGTACTAAGTAAAGAGTAGTGGTGTTTTGGAAAGCTGTGCAAAGTTTGTGTATGTCTGTTGGCTTTCTCTAGAGGTACCCCTGAAGAGGTAAACTGTAAACCAGACAGCTCACCCTTTCAGTGGGATTCTGAGGAATGTGCAAAAGCTGTTGGGGAGACTGCCAATTTCAGCACCTCGGCATTTGGACTGCAGGGGTCATCTCCGCCAAGAAAGGTGTCAGACTTGAGATCTGCTCCAGCAGGGTTGAGCTTAGGTACTGTGCCTCTAGCCACACAAAGCTAGGAACAGTACCTAAGCTCAACCCTGTCCCAGCAAGCAAAGGGCATGTGCGAATCAATGTGTGGTTTAGAACTGGGCAAAAAGAGGAAGTGTCTGTGTGTGTGTCTGGGAGGGTGGGTCTCTTTCTGTTAAAACTGTCGTGGTTTTGAGAAAATGTAATCCCAAAGCTGGACAGAATGTCAAAACCACCAAAAAATTGCAGAAAGACTTTGAAGAAAAATTCCACTTTGGGACAACCAAAACATATTTTTTTAGCTCCCCAGCTACATTCAAGGAAGGCTCTAATCAATTTCAAAAGCCCTGCTGCTGGAGAGGCAGAAAGCCCCTTCACTCTGCTTCCATGTCAATCCCCTCGAGTTCCCAGAGCAAGTAAGGTGCAAACATGGGGCTTTGCCTGTCTGTCCCCTAGAGCCAGCTGGGAAAGTGGGGAGGCAGAGCTTCCGATGCTCTGCCTGCCTGCCCCCCTGTAGCTATGGGAAAGGTGGGAAGGTAAAGCACAGCAGTGCTGTCCTTCCCCATCCCCTGGCACTGCGGGGAGATGGTGATTGATGAAGGTTTAGTTGCATCTGTACTAGATTTGATGAAACATTTCATTCTGCCTAATTGGTATTTTCTGACTACACTCAGTTTTGGAAGAAAATTTCCAACACGGTCTAGTTTGAATTTTCTCACAACAGTCAGGAGAGCATCCAGCAGCAGGGAGCCCAACCAGATTTGTGGCAGTACCCTAGGCTAATAATGGACCAGTTAGTAAATATAACAGAGGTGCTTTTGCAGGTGGCCAGCAATGCGTGGCAGGCTTACTGCCAAGTGTAACACTGGGGGAACTGGGATTAGAAATAAGTGTCACAATCTTATCATATAGTGTAAACGTGAATGAAATTTTACTTACCTGCTAAAGACCCGAGCAATTTGAGCTCTTTTATGCACAGCAAAGCTGAGAACCAGAAGAAGAAGAAGGATGCTTCCTATTGCTATTCCCATAATGACAATCTCACTACTGGACACTTGGAAAGAAACAGACACAGAACATTACACTTTGTTTGCACTTAGGACTTACTCATATAACTGTAACAAACATTTCCGTAGAAACTGAGGCTTGTCCCTGTATGAAGTGTGCATGCCTCACACACACATCCAGCTATCTCATACGTACATTCTCTAACAATACTAGCAACG